TTCTACCCATCAAAGATAAATTTATGTAAAAATGCAAAAGATTTATCATTTTGTTGTCATATATTATATGACAACAAATGTTTTTCATTTGTTATATTTCTACCCATATTGTCATATATTTCTACCCATATTGTAAAAATGCAAAAGATTTATCATTTTTTGCATTTTTGAATAGTTATCATATAATGGATGGTTATTAGGATTTTAATGTATAATCGATATGTTTAATATATGAAATATTTTTAGTTTTGGATTTTTTTGATTTAATGGATTAGTTTAATAATGATATCAAAGTTGTCGCCATGTTTGAATTTTGAAAAAAAATAGAAACTAATTTAATAAAAATAAATATCAAAAAAATTATTTTAAAAAATTATTTCTACCTTCCCAAAAGATAAAATAATATAAAAATAATGAGTTTTTAATTTTTTTTTCACCAATTTAATTTTTAGTTTCTTAGATATTTTTTCTAAAAACTAAACCAAACACAACTTTACAACTAAAAAGGTTTCAGTATTATTCATTAAAAAAAAGGTCATTACATTTCAAATAACATACATGTAAATAAATACAAAATAAATTATATAATGATTTTATCCTTAAAATGAATCATTTACAAAAAAATATATATCTATTTAATTTTCCTTATTTAAAATAAAATTTAAAATTTAATATAAAACGTATGACAAGAAACTAGAAATGTATGAAAGGTCCTATCTTCAAGAGCAAGAAAAGATTGATAATGAGAAAGAAAGGATTGTTAATGAGAAAGAGAAGACGCGAATGGAACAATTGAAGGAGAAATAGCGAATAATGTCATTGGATACGAATGCGATGCCTCCATTGCAAGCAGAATATATTCATCGCCACCAAATGGAAATTCTCCAAAAGAAGATTTAGTTGTTGTTAGAACTATGTTTTTGACTTATTTTATTGTTGGGTTGTTATATTTACTTTATGTTAGAATTAGTTACTTTATGTTAAAACTATGTTGGAACTAATTTTTGAATGCTTGAACTAGATTATTGGTGGATTAATTTCCCCTTGCAAGCATAATTTTGTTTATATTTAGTTTATTTTGGAACTAGTTCTTGTTTGTTTGAATAATGTTGGAATTGAAATGAATGAATGCTTGAACTACTAGTAGTTTAATTACAAAGGTGAATGCTTGTTGAAGTGTTAGTTATTTACAGCTTTCAACTATGTACTCTCTATGTACAGCTTCTTCTGTGGTTTATTCTGTCAATGACCTGATATACAATATGCCTCAGGTTAGAAGGAGTAGTAGCTGGCAGCAACATGCTGCAGCAGAGTGGATCTGAGCCTCTTAATTTTTTTCTCATCTTCTTTGGCTTGCGTTGGCTCCTCTCCAACCTTTGTGGTTGTGCTTGCTCATGATTGGGCTTTGTGCACTCCCCTTCTTTATCGATGAAATCTCATATGTATTGTATGTTATTGTCATCAATAAAGTTTCATTTTTTGCTGACTAAAAAAAAATCATGTACTACATATTTTAATAAAAAAATAACTAACATTATTTTAAAATATGTTAAAATATATATTATTATAAATGTCACCTCAACAACTATGTCAACGGTAAAATAAAGAATATAGTTTGAATACACAATAGTTAAAATACTTAGGTAAAATAAAAAGCTTATCATTTTGTACTTTAGCTAGTGAAAAATGAAGAGTGTGATTCGAATTGCTCTAATATTACCCTTTATTTATTAAATTATGGTTGTCTTTTAAGGTTGATATTTTCTCAAGTTTTGATTCAACAATCAATTTTTTTTTAATGAAATTATTGTTGGAAGTGCTCTTTTCATCTCAAAGTTACTTCGTAAAAGCAAACATAAATTCAAAATCAAGTAAATTATTCATCCATTTATCTCCTATTTGATTGAACAATATCTATTTATTTATTTTGTGTGTGTGAAGGAAACTAATATATAGCCTAATATACCTTTGTAGTATATAAATTGATATGATTAATTTAAGCTTCTTCAATTTTTTGGCCGGATAAAAGGATCAAACTAATTAGTTAATATTGAATGTGCACAGTTGAAAAATGATCTTAGATATTAATGTCTACATACAAATTTTTATTTTAGAAATTCAATAATACTAAATTCACAACCAATGTTGTTCAATTTTGTCATTCAACTTATACCAATAAGGACTTCAAAAGCCCATTTACCATGGATGTAATCACTACTGAATTTCCGATTCTGAATTTCACTTATTCATCAAACTATTCAAAACTATTAATTAGATGGTTTTTTTTTTCTTCTTTTTTTTCATCAAACCGCTCCACAATTAATAAACTATTCAAAAATTTTAATGTAAAATTGCAAAAGCAATCAGCTAATTTGCTAAAGAAGACAATGAAGCACTAAAACTTGACCGTGAACATATAGAGAAAAGAGTAGACAAATAATCAAGCCAGTATAGAAATAATGCCAAAGGCCACCATAGAGAGGTCACGGACAGCATGCGTCATGACCCAAACCTACTCTTGTGGATTAGAGTCACAACCGGCCAATAATCATGTGATTACTTGTGGCCTTAGTCAGAAATCGAATCACATTTAATAGTAAGGGGCCAAATTACGGAAGCAAAATTTACAAAGATTGTCCAATGAGCTGTGCATACATGGCTTAACCAAAACATTGTCATATTCATAAAACATCCATATTATGTATGTATTACATAAGTCCAGGATCATTCAAAACTAGTATTAACAAAAACCAAGGTTATACTCAGGATTGGTCATACACGACCACAAAAGAACAAAAGGAAAAGCAAAACAAAAGTAAGGCCTCTTGTGTGAGGCGACCTTGGTTAACTCCTCAAAACTTGGTTTCTCATTGCTCATTGGGGTTGAGGCTGGACATCCCGCTGCTCACTTACATACATATAAATAAGGAATGAGCTAATGCCCAGTGAATAATACCAAAGCAAAGGAGTTCATGAACAAATTCTTGCAATCAGAATTCACTATTACGCTTTGAAAATCAATAATAAAGCAAAACGACCTCAGGTCCTTTCTATCATTTCTCAAACATGAAACGACCTCGGGTCCATATAGTATACCAAACGACCTTGGGTCCAACTTACACACAGAACGACCTTGGGTCCATTACACACAGAACGACCTTGGGTCCATTACACATACATATATTTGATGTGTGCACACATTTAAATCCATGGTCATATCCATTTTTGTATCCGGAACGACCTTAGGTCCATTTCTTTCCCTTATCCTGAACGGCCTTCGGCCTATTTAATATGTATACGGAACGGCCATAGGCCCAATCCATATCTTTACTGAATATACTAAACGGCCTTAGGCCATTTCATACCCATACGTTGATCACTTCGCATGTTTCATTCCGAATTGAGTGATTAGACTACTCATTCATGATATCACTTCAAAGGTTTAGAACCTTACCACCTAGGCATCATTTAGAAAATAATGCACATACAAAATATCTTTGCTAAGATATTACTCATAGTATTTCGATGCTTGATTCGTCCTTGCACTTGACCCTACATAATTGATAGCACATTGGGTCATAATACCATTCAATCTGTTCTTTAGTTTGCTTAATGTTCTTAGGCTTCTCTCGTGTCCTTTAATTCATTTACAACGTTCAATGCATGCCTAAGAGTGCTTAGAAATGAAAGAGAACGGAAAGCGAAACATAAAACAACTTTTTAAAATTTCTGAAACAGAGCTCTTCGCTCGAGCACAACTTTTCTCGCTTAAGCGGACCCTTTGGTCTACAAAAGTACTGGTTGCCTCATTTTTGCGCTCGAGAGTGACCTTGGTCGCTTGAGCCAAGAGTCAAAACATGTGAGTGGGCGCTCGAGCGCAATTCTTCTTGCTCGAGCAGACATCAATGTTTGTAAAACTTTTGGGAGCTTGATTTTTATGCTCGAGCGGCACTTTCCTCGCTCAAGTGGACTCGATGAATTTTGGAATTTCTAGAACTTTATTTGAGGCTCAAGCTTGATGTTCAAAGGTCCAAAGCTTGTGTTTTTGGTACAAAATCATGGAAAGACATTATATAACATGAGAACATAGGTAATTTGAGACCAATTGTCTAAAGCCATGATCCAATTCTCAAATAATTTCATATTCTTCTTGACAACTTCAAAACACATGCAATCAAGCTTCATAACTACATGGATTATGCATGCATGTGTAATATAGACTCTAATACCATTTCAAATGGTAGAAATGATGGTCAAAATCATGTGGCTTAACAAAACTATGCTTGCATGATTTGGTACTCAATTCTTCATGTTTCATGCTCAAATGAACATAATCATGGTGAATGCAAACATGCATACTCCAATTCTTGTTCTTAGTCACATATCATGCTTGGATTTACTTAGTTATGAATTTTAATTCATGAATTTGAGCTCAATTACTCACCTAGGAGCTTCAGCTCTTCCAATTATAGCCAATTCTTGAGCTAATCCTCCTAGTTTCTTGAATTCACTTGCAAATTCCCAAGGTTAAGCTCCCTCTCTCTCTAATTCGGCTCACTCTCTCTCTCACTAGAGTGAAATCTCAGCCAAGTTGGAAGAAATGAGCTCAAAAGAATAACTTAAGTGTATATAGGCCTATATACAGGCTTGCCTAAGGCTAGGTAATTGTGCTTTAATTTAATCATATTGAATCTAATTATTTTGGTCCGAATCAATTTTTAATTAAATCTCACTATAGGCTCTAAAAATCATGCTAATCATAAAAATACAGTCAATTTCAGTTTCCGTCGCCTCTACGACCTTCAATTGAATTTTATAGTAGAAAAGCAAACAAATTTTCCTACCGTGAACAGATGCAAATTGAGAAACACATATAATCACATAATTAGTATTCAAAATCATATCAAGCTCATAATTATAAGCATAACTAAGATCATTAACATAACATAGAGCAGGGTTATCACAGCATGGTTCTGACTGGTGACAGGTGATCCGCTCGCCTACTGCTGTTTACACAGGTTGGCATCGTCCCTAACATTAGCTGCACCTTGTTTTGATTCTCCATAGTCATTGGAATTCAATGCAATGATTGCTCCTGGTAGTTCAATTGACACAGCTTTGTTGTATTCTTCAATACATGTTCCTAAGAATTCGTAATCTAAATGATCATGGGTTTGATTAAATAGTTTTCCCACAATCTGTAATGTTTGATTAGCTTTAACCATAACTTGTTGAAGACTGATGTGAGCGAGCCCTTTGACATCTGCTTTCAAACTTTGAGGGTCTGATTCTAGAGATGCGGCACAAAGGTTGAAGTTATTGGTACGCCTGAACGTTTGGCGAATCAAATTTCTGTTTTTCTGTGAAGTTGAAGCAGATGATTGGGTTGATACTATAAGGATAGCATGAAGGAAAAAAAGACGGATCAATCTTTGAGGGATCCACATTGCCATTTTGTGTAGAGAAATGATATGTTTGTTGATGATATTATCTGGTCTATTTTCTTAGTATTTATTGATACAAAATGTGAGACCTTCCATCTTCATAAATATTTTATACAATACTTAAAGTTTCAAGTAGTATGGGTCCTACACTCAAGTATTATATGGAATATTTAGTAATTCATTTGGAGTTTCTAGCATTTTTGTAATATTTCTATGTAATTTGTGAATGTACTTGAATGAATTTGAATGATTTATGAATGTAACCATAAATGGCTTTGAATGATTTGTGAATTTACATAAATGGAATTGAATGATTTATGGATGTTCCTAACTCACACATTAATATGGGTCGCATACCTAGTGATAGTTGATCGTATCAAAACATGTGAGTATGTTAGTAAAATTATTAATAAATGTGTTAATATCCCTAACATTGTTGATATTGTAAATGGATTTAAATGTTCAAATCTCTTCCATGCAACTTGGGTTCATATTGAATTCTATTAGAGTTATTTATCAGATTCATTCCAATTTTAAACAGATTTTCTGAGTTATTTAAATTTATTTCTCATACTCAAGTTGTTTTTCGAAATAGTATTATTAAAAAAAAGCGCTATTTGATTTGATTTTCATAAATTATTTTTTGAATTTTTTTTTTTGATAAAAATAAACACCAAAAAGATAATTTTCTAGTTTAAGAAATCATTTCTAGTCTTCATCTTCAAAAGATAAAAATATATGAAAATGAGGAGCATTTTTTTCATCATATTAATTAATTTATTTAAAAAAATTGAAAACAAGTTCTAAAATTCAAATCAAACAAAGCCACTACATCTGCGAACTTCAGACATGATTGCAAAGAAATGGAAAATAAGATCAAAATAACTCAGTTATTTCCAATATAACTTGGGTATGGTAAAAGACTTAATTCTAACCATACCTTTTAAAAGTGATGAAAAATCCAAAACAAAAAAATCAATCATACTAAAAACATGAAAGGTATTGAGAGAGAGAGAGAGAGAGAGAGAGAGAGAGAGAGAGAGAAGAAAAAAAGAAACTAATTCCCAAATTCATCTCCCAAAACCAACCCAGAGTGCAGCAGCCAAAACAAAATCGAATAAACAGAGACAACATTTGTCACGCCCTCAAAATATGATATATTCATTCATTCACAAGATCTATAGACATAATAGAAATGTTATATTTTCATTCATTAGAGTCTTCTTTACAAAATGTATTACATGCATTACGTTTTCATAAAGGTTTATCTTGAAATTATAGCATGTAGCTCTAACTGATAACAACAAAATAAATGCCCTACGAACTTACAGCTTTCCAAGTTATCACTTGGTTACAACAAAAGAAGAGTCCTAACTCTTTTACATATAAAGCCCTCGACTTGAATTTACATTGAGCATAAAACAAAATATACAAAAGTGGAGCCTTCAACTCCTAAGCCTCCCAAGCTATGACCTTGGAGGTGGCATGTCACCTGTACCTGAAAATGGTTTCCCAAGTAGGGTGAGCCAAAACCCAGTAGAGATATGCTAAACAATATATGAGAATTAATTAAAATATCAGCATCAGATAAATGTGCAACGTTCTTAACCAACTTATAATCTTTTCAAGGTCATTCAATATAGATAGCCAATATCTTAATTCATTTCCATTCTTCCATTTCGGGTAAACCAATTAACCAAATCCATTATTATCAAAGCAACCAATATGAGACTGCAACTCAATGGTTCACAATTCAATACATTTATCAATCCAACACTTCTATTTCTTGCCATTTTACGGAACCACGTCCGAGGGAACTGACACCCATAAATATATAAGATTTCGGAACTTTCACCTTGGACACTCCGGCCAACTTAATTATCAATGGAGTCCATCCCTTATTTCCTCCCAAATCATGGAGTACATCCCCTATCTCCTCCCAAACAATTATACATATAATATGTATTTAAACACTTTGTCATATACAATGACTAATCAAAACACATATTCAATGGTTTAATCAAACCATCGTATTCAATGACATAATTCAACTGATTAGTTTCAATCATCCTAATTCTCATGCAGTTTCTACAACAATCATAGCTATCCTCCATTAATAGCCCAAAACATATATATCTAAACAGATAAATAAATCTATCAACAGATAATTTATCGAATTCCATAGGTGTGTGATTTATCAAACCAAACTACGCCATTCAATCACATATTCCCCCAATTTCATAATTCCCAAACCAATTTCATTATTTACATAAATAGTTATTTCAACTCAACTTAGGGCAAAACTTCTTCATTTTTCCAAAATATCAACCCATAGGTCTAAATCTCACCATTTCAACAATAAAGAACCTCATACACAAACCCCCAAGGTTACTTTGTAAATCAACATGAAAACTCCTTTTAGTTTAAAGCCCAAACCTTAACTTTTACCAAAATCTTCCTAAATCCCACCATTTATACAAAATAACAAATATCTAAGTTAAAGCTCATATTAGAGAGTAGAATATCCCTACCTCAAAGTTAGGAGATCAAAGGAGAAGATGGAAGAAACTTTGAAGATGACCAAACTCCACCTTTTTCGAATCAAATGGAAGCTCACGCAATACTTTACCTTTTTAACAAAGGGACTAGGGTAGAAACTCTTAGATCAAGGAGTATTTGTAGAGAGAGAGAGAGAAAGTTTTAAAGAGAGAGGGTGTCGGATTAGGGTTTTGGCATAAAAAGAAATAAAAAAGTGATGCAGAAAAGCTCTGCTGCGAACTGATATACGCGGTCTTCGTTCGAGCGAAGGAGCTGTCGCTCGAGTGACCAGACACAACAATGACCTTGCTCGAGAAGCCTTGCTCGAGCGTAGAATGCAAAGCTTCAAGTCTGCCACTAACGCAGACGCACGCTCAAGTGCAAGAAGTCTCGCTCGAGCGAAGAAACAATTTCACAAGGCTCGCTTGAGCGAAAGAAGCCTCGCTCGAGCGACGCACTATCACCTTCCCAGAAACGCTACGTTTGGGAGAAAACCTGAAGACCCTCATTTCTCGCTCAAGCGTAAGAAACCTTGCTCAAGCGAAGAAGCAAATACACAAGGCTCGCTCGAGCGCAAGAAGTCTTGCTCGAGCGAAGAGGCCAAAATCTGGGTAACAACCATTTGTACCAATAGACAACCAACCTATTCCAAACTCGCCCAACAAGTCCCAAAACTCAAATTCAAAGAATTAAATGGAGGAAACAAGACATAGACAACAACATACAATCACGGACCCAAGTCCGGAATACAATAAAGGTCGGGGTAAAACCAGGATCGCTATAACATTCATCCCCAATGAACAAGTAAATATTCTATTGAAATGTTATATATTTTGACAAATTGACATTAGATTTACAAATCTTTAATATTTCCTTACAAATTGCTGACCTCCGGGCTCCTATAATCTTTGTATTTCCCAAAAAAAACTTTAAAACATGCGTAAACTATACTACCAAACAATCTATAAACCAATAGTAAAACATGAATGCAACGATAATACCACCTCATCATGCACACGTGGTATCACAGTTGTATTGAATTTGTTTTGGGGAAAGAAGAGTTCCAAAAGCAAGTGTCACAAAACAAAACAACCGCTATACATAAAATGGTTGTTACAAGAGCCTATGAGTCAATCCCCCAACACTTGGGTACTCAGGATTTGCATTAGTGATCAAGCACTCAACATTGGGTAGCAGATAGTTTGAGTACTCTGGAGATAACTTGCAATTTAATAAACCTCTATAGTATATAAATTGGTATAATTTGGTTTAAGCTTGCTTCTTCAATTTTTTGGCCCAATAAAGGGATCAAACTAATTAGTTAAATGTTGAATGTGCTTCGTAGAAAAATGATTTTAGATATTAACTTTTTATTTTAGAAATTCAACAAAAACTGAATTCACAACCAATGTTGTTCATATTTTTCATTCAATTTATACCAATAAGAACTTCAAACACCCATTTAACATGGATATAAGCACTACTGATTTTCTAGTACTAAATTTCACTCATTATCAAACTGTTCAAAACTGTTAAAATGATTGATTTTTTTTTTTTGCTTTCATCAAACCGCCCCTCAATTATTAAAACATTCAAAAATTTAACTTAAAATTGCAAACGTGACACTCTAAAAGGATTTGCTAGAGAAGACACTAAAACCTACCATGAACATATGTAGACAAATTAACCCAGTGTAGAAATAATGCCAAAAGCGACCATAGAGAGATCACGCATATAGCGATCCCGGTTTTGACCTGACTCTTATGGTATTCCAGACTCGGGTTTAATGCTTTCATATTGTTGTCTACCTCTATCTTCCCTTGTATCTCTTTGAAACTGGCTTTTGGGTTGTTATGGTTGTGTTTGGGCAAGTTGGTCGCTTATTTTTCAAACCTTGTGTTGCCCAGAATTTTGGTCCTCCGCTCGAGCGAGACTTCATGCACTCGAGCAGGCTTTGCAAACACTCAGTACTTTTGCAGGTCTGCAAAACTACTGGGAGAGTGATTTCCACGCTCAAGTGGCGTTTCCTTCGCTCGAGCAGGTTGGCGCTTGAGTGGCCTTTCTTGCGCTCGAGTGTTGGTCTATTGTCTGCAAAACTATTGGATGTGTGTTTTCTACGTTTAAGTGTCACTTCTTGCGCTCGAGTAGTGAGCGTCTTTTTCATTATGTCTTGGCGCTCGAGCGACCTTTCTTGTGCTCGAGCGGAACAACTTATTGTGTCTGACGCGCGAGCGTTAACTCTTGCGCTCGAGCGGACTGTGCGTATATCAGATTGCAAAAATGACTTTTTATATCACTTTTTCAGATCTTTTCTCCCTAAAACCTAAAGTTGAGACTCTCTTTCTCTCTACATTTTCACCTAGTTTTAGTGATTTCTTCACCCTAGTCCCTTTGTTAAAAAGGTAGGCCATCTCAAGATATTCATTTTGATCCGAATAGAGTTGGATTTGGGCATTTTTAAAGTTTCTCTC